GCCTACTTAGTTCATTCAGAGATGGGTTCACCGGAGAGCTCACCTCAGGTCAACCCGGTGCTGCTGGAGTACGCCCAGAAGCTATCGGAGGAGATCGTGGCCCGGGCTGTGCAGCAGTGGGTGGAGGTAGACCGCCGCTACAGCGACATCCCCTACATTGAATGTGACGTGCCATGACGGGGGGAGGTGTGTCGCAGTGGAAAGGTGAGGCTGGGACGAGCTGCTCTGACCATCATTCAGAGTCACTCCACCTACTTGTGAGGAGGAGTATGAATGAGGCGTTGGTGATTCACATTTGAGCTACTTTTGGATTTGATTTACATGGACTGAGACTAAAAAACCTCCAAAGTGACCAGAGTGCTCTGATCTATGTTTCTGTGATTATTGGTTTCTTAGCTGGAGCCTCACTGACGCACACCGTCTTCAGCTAGATATCATCTTCCTCGGTCCTTATTTGTCCCCTCTCTGCCTCGCAGTAGGTGCTGGCTCTTCGTGGCTGGCCTCATAAGAAATCCTATCAGATATGCCCGGAATCACAATGTTCCTCCTTGCCAGTGAAAGTCTACCCCGTCCACTGATGTTGTCCTGGGGCCAAGATTCTCTCCTCTTACGGAGGATCTTATTTATAGATCCCTTCATTTGGTGAAGGCTCTCACTTGAAAACTTGTATCAGCAGGTCAGAAACACACCCAGCTGTGTGATTCCTTCCGGTCTGACAAAAGGCTCTGTGGGCTCCTAATGGCCTCCCTGGAGATCCACGAGGAGCATTATCCTCCAGCTCTGCAATTAGACAGGCTTGGCTGCAGCCCTCCTTCCAAACATGTCCTCAAAACGAGTCCAGGAAATCCAGGGTACAAATGATGCGCTTCCTGCCCTCCAGGATATTCTCTGCACACAAGTCGTGCAGTTTGGGAACTTTGACAGGACTTGGGTCGTATAGGCGGCCGGCGCAAAGAAACCAGGGCACGAGGAGGATTGACACACTTTCAAGAAACATTTGGCTCATCAACAGAAGGAAGAGTGAATAAAAACCTAACAGCAGTTTGGGGGAAATGTTTTAGGGCCTAGTTTCTTTTTTTGTTCGATTGTTTTTTGGGGGGTTTGTCCACATCGTGTCAGTGTATACCTGAGAAATATTGCTACCTGCCCTAAAGAAGAGAAAGCACAAAACCATGACATTTAACCTTTTATCTCTAACAAGAGCACCAATGCATCTGGAATAAGGTTTAAACCGCCCAAGTCCTTAATGACAGTGAGCCAGCTTTAAAGGCTCACTCCTGAACTCCTCTGGCCATAGTGGTGTCTATCATTGTTTTTGTGTGAGATGCCAAATTTGGAAAATTCTGTCTGCTTTTTCTTACATATAGAGGAATATATAGAAATGCTTTTTTAAAACCCTCCCATCTAATGTCTGTTTACAGAAGTCATGACCTTGTTACTCAAAAATATAAAAAATAAAAACTTTTGTGATTGATACATCATTAGCCAATGAGCTGTCTCCCGTTAGACTCTAATGGGTACTGTAATGTACAAACTGAATATCATTCTGTGTTCAATAAGACCTGGAACTAGAGACTGAACCCAGAAAGACATCAACTGCTGGTTCCTTTTAAAAGGAAGTTTTTCCTTCCCACTGTCACCAAGTGCTCGCTCAGTGTGGGCTGTTTAATTGTTGGCTTTTATTTGTAATGTTTTCGTCTTTATCTTACAATATAAAGCAGCTCGAAGCGACTGTTGTTGTGATTTGGTGGTGCAAAAATAAAATGAATTGACCTTCTTTGGACCTTTAAACAACCAGTTCTGTAATTCATTTCCACATAACCTTTATTTTTCACAGCTGTAAGCCTCGTCCATCTTTTATATACAGTCAATTGTCACAGGTTGTTTTTCTTAATCATTTTTTCTTTTGAGGACTGAATCGTGATTTCAGGAAATAAATGTTGCTGCTGTTGACAGCTCACACTAAAACAGATGAATAGCATAACAAGCCAGAGGGGTCTCACCCATATGTACATTTATGGGTGAAATGTCCCTTTAATATCTGACAGGTCCCAAGATAATTTCAAACAAATACATTTTCAGAAATTAGAGGTTTTTACTTTTCAAATTAAGTTTCATACCCATTGTTATGAGCCATTCCATTTGGATAAACACATTACATACAAAGGAGTGGATGTGAACCAACCCCTAAACTGTAAATGGGTCACTGGCAGCTTGGTGGATGCTGACAGGTCAGGGTTCTCACTAAAATCTGAATTAAAATGTTTGTTGTGCGTCAAAGTGGCATCAGACAGGTGTGGTTTAGAGGATGGTGCAGCTACAAGCCAGAGCCTCTGAAGCAGAAACCGTTTGTGCACAGGTGTGCTTTACTGTCCTTATACACGTACATGGAAATTGTGGAATTTACCCTAAACTGAAGTCATTACTGCGAGCTGTCGCTTAAACTGCCACACAGCTGTTTGCAGAGACAACAGCTTTGAGTATTGAAGTAATAAAATAACTGCAAGGATGAACCACAATAGCAGGAGCCAACTGCTAATAAAGCCATAAAAGTAAGTGGCAGGGTATGGTCACCGCTTGCCTTCTCTCCACGTCTCCAGTCTGTGCTGACATAAAACTGACCAATAAAAGCAGCAAATACACCCACACTGCACTGGGAGGGCTATCTGATGCTATTCGGTGCTTCAAACTGTGCCAGCTTTACAGAAGAGCAGCAGCCTCTTTAAAAACAAAGTTGTGAGCCACAGTTCACAGGTTGAATTGTTTCTGTGAGTTCAGTGATGATGAGCGGCACCATATTGGTGCGCTATGTAACCCAAACACTCCAAAAATCAAACACATTAATCATAATGTTCTTGCGTGGGCAGATTAATCTCCCTCCAAACATGTTATGAGCAAACTGGAGATTAGAGGTCGTGCTAATCGGATGTTTTGCTTCTGATAAACACGAGAAAAGGCTAATCTGACTGTTTTCCTAAAAAACTGCTTTCTGTGAATGAAAGGCTGGCTTAGAAAAACACACACACGCACAAACACGAGGAGGGCCTGATAGCCAGAGTTTGAGCTGTTAATGCAAGTCAAGATGCACATTTTCTTTAAAGTTCTCACGCCGGAGGCTGAGTCATAGTTTTCATTTCTGTTTCATTTCTGCCTCCAATTCTGTTTCTTAAAGATACTGCCAGAAATATTGATGTCAGGCTTAACTGCATTTCCTGTGTTTACACATTTATAAATGTGGGGTCTGCAAGTCATACAAAAGAAAAGCGTTGAGTTGCACCTTTCACAGAATTGAGAAAAGAAAATCTCAGACCAAGCGTGAATACCCGTCTTCATCCAAACATCTGTGTTTTCCAGGTGATGCTTCCTTTTGGGGAAAAGTGATTCTAAATTTTAAAGGTCACTCATTTTATGCTATTTGACATCAGCAGGTGTTCCCACAGACAGGCTTTTCTCACACTAAGGACAGATCCTCTGAGATGCAGAGTCTGAAGGGCTGTAGTGCTCTGTCGTTGAGTTCAAATTAATGCTGGAGCAAAGCGTTATCATTTTCTTGATGCAATTTTTTGTATTTAAAGAAGCTCCTTCTGCTGTTCAGTGTTCAAATAGTACAAATATTAATCTTTAATTAACAACTAGTTCAGTATGGAGCACTTTAATGGCCATAGATGGGACTTTTTTCCCATTTTGAGAGATGAAGAAGCAAGACGATATGTTTTTTTCTTAAAAACATAAGGAACTTATGTAAATGTAATGAAGTAAATGTATTTTTCAATAGGGTAAGCAGCCTTAAAGTAAAAGAAGGAAACACCCAAGAAGAGGGAACTTGTAGCTGAACACATCGGGTCCAGGGGTAGCTAATACTGCCAATTACCTTTAAATCAGCATCGACATAGCCAGAAACACCTGGATGCCCTCATTGTTATCATATTTATACTGAATTTAGCAGAAGAAAATACAAGTTTGAAGTACACTGGCATGCTTGGAGGAGATTCCTCTGAGTTTCTCTGATAAACCTGCTACATAAGTGATGATCAATCAGTACCTGATTTGTAAACCAGAAGCTCTTGGTGCACAGAGAGGGATTCCTCCAATCAACGGAAAACAATTACAGGCTCTTCTCTGTGGATCTTATCAAAAACCATTCAAAGACAAATAAATTCTGCCTCTTGGGCATTTGTCTATAATGTTTAATTTCTTGTTTAAATAAAGATTTTTTTTTAAAGTATTTCCTACTACATAATAAATATAACCAAGTGTGCACACAATACATGCTATGAAAAGTCAGGGGTCCCCTGTGCTTTGCAGCCTGGCTTCAAGGTAGAGAAAGCGCTATGATGTGTTGATGGTGCACACAAAAATATATCAAATCGGTGCACATAATCGCATTTTGTGGCTTTAAAATGTAATTTTTTCTTGTATTTGACTCCTGCTGGACTCCACAGTCCCCAACACAAAGGAACTCCATTGATTTGTTACAAATAAAGCAAACAGATGAGATGCTAGACCCAAAAGCTCTGCAAGTTTCTGAAAATGAAAATATAATGTTGTGCCTCCTTTACTTAAAATCTTTTTTTTTCCGGCTTTCTCTCATTATTCCTGAATTTGTCCACCGTCTCTCAAGTTTTGTTTAAAATTAGTACTTGAACGTGATTTAGAAATGTGTCACTGACTTGACACCAGCCAAGCTGATTAGTTAATGCTCAGCATTGGACATGTAAATCTGAGGTCAGTATGATCTCATTGGTGCGATCTCTCTAATGTACCAGCTTTCTACAGCAGTCTGAGGGACCCACAGAATAAAAAATAGGTAGAGAAGTCTAGCGAAACACAAGCAGCCCGGGGAACGATGACTAAAACCACCCGCACCATGAATAATCTGTCATGAAATAACCTGAAATGAGTGACTTTGTGCATCTTCCTTTATGATAAAAGACTTTGATTTGCAAACTGTACATACAGTGTGTGTAAAACTGATGCCAATAAATCAGACTCATGCCTTCTGTCATTGAAGTGTTTTTGTGGTTGTTTAATAAGAGGAGACGCAGTGGATTTCGAGATATTTGTGGTTCATGATGACTTTAAAATTCCTGCCAAACAAAAACGCCCATCAGCAGCCCGAGGGACAAATAATCAGAAATGAATTCCAGCCATCTTTTGTCTGAAGAGCAAGATGTAAATAGACGTAAATCACAGAGTTCATCTGCCCGTCCAGAGCGAACACTCAGCACTGGAGGTCGTCCTGTCTGCCTGATGAGCTGCAGACTGCACTGATGAATGAGTCAAAGCCTTGATACTCATTTCTTAGGTAGGATTTATGGGCTCAGACTGTGCGAATGTGAGGCAGGTAGAGAAGATTAAAGCAGACATGAGGTGTCCCACGCTGCAGGCTGGGATTTAAACAATAATCTGAAGCCTGATTTAAAAATTGTTTGAGTCTTTGCAGCTCGATGGGGACAATTCAGTCGGAAAGCATTATCATTCCCAGGTGCCAGCCTGTGCTACCGAAGCAGGATTTCCTGGCAGTGCTGCAAACAGAACAGAGCACTTGATGTGAAATAAACGTGTTTACTTTGGAGAGTTTATATCTGAGCAGCAGCTTAGTGCTCTCATGCTGATAACTAAGGCACTTTGTAAAGTTACACAAGAACATTTTAGGTCATAAAAAATACCGTCCTCAACAATCAGTTCCTTTAAACACACCCAGTAAAAAACACAGAATTTCATGTAACCAGCTCTTTTATTGCCCTCTGTTCCAGCACAGAATCCGACTCTTGTTTTTTTGCTAAATAATGCAGCTGCAGAGACCTAATGATGAGGGAAGTGATTTGATTTCCTCTGAACAAACATCGGGAAAATATTAGAAAAACAAAACATGCATTTCAGACGACTAAAACCAGATTTGCTTTGCTAAAGTATGCAGATAAATTCAATATCAGCAAAAATTTATAGGTTTGTCTTCGAAGTATTGTTTGGATTTGTGTTAGAACACTTTATTAATTCCCTGTTATACCTAAAAACAACTACAGGTAGTACTTACACTAATCTGCCACAATATTAAAACCATTTTTCCAGTATCAGAGAATTTAGGGATATTCCAGAGCAGCGAAGATATTAATAAATGTGTAATTAATGGTGGGGGAAAAAGGTTTTTGCTTTAAGATGTTAATCAGACTTGACTGATGAGTCTTGGTAACTATTAACATTAAAAAAATTGAAATAACGCTTCAAAATAAATGCTCATATCTCACCTACAAGTGGAGAGACTTGATTCCAAAAGGATGAGTACAGTCCTTCAGCTCTGACTTATCAGAGGATTCAACTCCTGTGACCGGTGTTAGAATGGTCCAGTGGGTTGCCAGGTGGGGCCATAGACTGTATATAAAGATGGGCTTAGCTTCTGAAGTTAAAAACTTAAGCCGAAGCACCTTGACATTTTAACCTTTTTTTTAATGCCCACAAGGGGGCGACTCCTATGGTGACAAACATGTCTTCTTTTTTTAAAGATAGATGTTCATGAGGAAAAAAACCCAAAAATCAACTGCACGATTGATTTACAAAATCAAAAGACTTTCCTTAACAAGACATGGGTTAAATCACTAGTTTTAAGTCTTTATAAATGGCAGTAAACTTGATAGAAAAGCGCAGTATCTTCAGGGACCAGCAGGTGTCTCTGTTTCTCAACCGGATCCACCTTTTGCGCAGAATGTTTAGTTTTAAAAAAGTTAAACTGTAGAAAAGTTAAACTCTTTTTGAAGCCTCAAATTAAGGTTTCAAAAAGAGGACTGTGCAAACCAGTGCATGATGTCATGGTGGGTATGCCCATCTTTAATATACAGTCTTTGTTTAGGGTCTCTGTGGACTGAGCTTTTTCCAACAAATTCGATCAATGCAAAAATGTTTAGGAAGCTGCACCTTGTCAGAGCAACATCAAAGGTTTCCCAGCACCGCACTGTAACAAGATGATCGATGTTATCCAGCGTTGAGGGGTTTTAAATGCTGCGGCTTGTATGAGATTAAACATTGGAGAGGGAAAAAAAGGGAACAGGAAACAGGAAGCTGAGACGATATATGATCTGTATTAGAAGCTGTGACCGCGCTGCAGGACTACAGATGATACTGCTCCGTGTCACATCAACAAACATCCACAGGAAATGTAGTGAAGCACTCAGTGGTGAGATCATTATCCCCTCCCGTGTCCTTGTGCTAATGTAGCACTGCTGTTCTGATCCTTTAACATGCAGCACTGTAACATTACAACTGTACAAACTATGCAGAAAGACTCCACTGCAGAGCAACAGTGCACCAAACTGCCTGCTCCCTCTTCTGCCTGTGAGCATGACTCAGCTGTGGAGACATAGTCGTGATTTTTCTGTAAAGAATCACCAGAACAACTACTTATTCTACAGCAATAACACGGTTTATGAACAAGGGCTGACACGCTTCCATCCACAGCGGCTCGCTCCTCCATAAAAGGATGGGGGGACAGGAAGTGGCCGGTTAGAAAAGGCTTAGCGGTGTGTTGTTTGAAGTTGGGAGGCAGCTGCTGACCAACTTCACAAAGTCAGGTCCTTCTCACCCAAGGAGGAAAAACACTGCTCCACCATCTGGTCGGACACCTCCTCTGGTGTTGATGGGTTCCACTTGGGATTCTGGTCTTTGTCAACTAGCACTAAAAACACAGAAAATCCAGTTTAGTGATGCTAAGAGGAACAATAACTAACCCACAACCTTTAGAAGCGAGCATATACTTCTGCAGAGTGATCTGTGATTGTAATAATCACTGCTCAGAATCCTTGCTAGTCCCAGTATATACTTTAAGTCTGAACCAAAAAAACCAAAGCTTATTTTAAAAAGGCTGATCTCCCCTTCAAGGTTGTCTTCGGGTGTACCTCAGGACCTCTTCCAGCAGGCCTGATTTTTCAGATCTGAAGCTCCTAATTTGCCTTTGTGCATGTGTGCATGAGCTAAGCTCCTTCAGCTGAGCTGGAGGAGAGGGAGGACTGGGCTTCTCTGCTCAGACTGGATGCATGCATGGCTGAAACACAGATGCACCAGGAGACGACCTCAAAGATGAGATCGGCACAGGTAACGTTTTAATCTCTTTATCATTTCCATTTTACTTTAGTTTACTGATCCTGTTATAATAGAATAGAAGCTACAGTGTTTATTATGTTTGGTAAATCTATGTAAAAATAAGTTCCAAGACTAAATTTTATACCCATCCTCTTCTGCTTTTGTGTCCCCTGTACTGCAGTGACTTACCGGCTCGAACGCCTTCATAGAAATCGCAGCCCCTCTGCAACACAACACAAACAATGTCTTATCACTCCCCGAAACACATCATCAGAGCTGAAATGTGAAACCACCTTGGGTTTCAGACTTCACTGTGATGGTTTTTACCATGCAGGCCTGGCTCAGTCGATACTCCATCACCAGCACGTCCTGCAGGCTCAGAGCTGCGCCCGCCTGCAGCTGCTTGAGGGTGATCTTCAGGGACGTGGGAGACATTTTGGACAGAGTCTAGAGGAAGAGAAACCATTTGTTTGTTTTACTCAGCTTGGCTTCATAGTATCAGAACAGTCACAATCTAGGACAAATCGTTCCTACAGTGGATTCTAACAGCCCCAGCTGTTACTTATACACATATAAACCTCTCAATAATGCCAGGATTTAGTCAGTGACAGCCGAAAGAGAGAAGGAAACTTTTAAAAAGATCATCAGCTCATCGTCGAAATGCCAAAAAAAACTCAAGCTCTTTCCTCGTGCCCATGTCCAGACTCTACTTCCTTCTCACGCGACAGTATTCAGAGAACATCCTTACATCCAGAAAAAAAAATCACTTACATCACAATTATTTCAACATGTAAATAAAGATTCATTAATAAAAACTGGGTTTTTTTGTTTGTTTGCTTTGGTCTTGCTGAAGGTGAGAAGATCAAGCTCATGACTTTCCTGGTGAACAGATTTAAGAAGCGGGGTGTGGTAGGTGAGGGAGGGAGGGTCATGTGACTCGTTTAATCTCGAGTGAAGTGGAACATCGCTTTTTAGGCTGTTTGAGGGAATTTTAGTGAATGAAGCCATGATAATTCACTCTGACATCCCACTAAAGTGTCTTTAGCTCCAGCCAGCAGGGCACGGTGATTAACCTCATTAAATACTTATTCTCAGGTAACTACCAAAATGCACAGCGGAGCCAAATAACACCCCGGCTTCATTCCAGCTCTGTCTGTGGGTTTATCGGAGGGTGGTGTTCACCATCAGCCTCTGTAAGAGTTCATGTTTTAAAGACAGCTGACTGTTGGAACAGAAGCAGCTGAACCGCACTCTACTTGAACTGAGCCGCAGAGGAGCAACGCACCTCAGTTTGTTTCTTAGCGAACTCGGAGCCGTCGGTCTTCAGGTTCTTCACAATGCCTTCCACACTGCTGGCGCTGAAGAGCCTGACAGGATTTAAAAGGACAAGAGACTGAAAATAAATAAAAGGCTGATAGTCTTTAAAAACAGAGCACAAAGAGATTAAAAGCAGCACTGAAAGAGGCTGGTACATATGGAGCCCTGAAAGCCGATTTCAGGAATACATTTCTGACTAAATACAGTGTTTCTGTCAATTTTCTTTATCTGTCACCAACAAAAACAGACTCCAGCTCACCTCCTGAACCTAGTTTAAGTATATTTAGGAAGAAAGTCATGGCCCACCTGTCTATATCAGAGAGGTGCTTTTTCAAGATGAAAGGCTTCTCAGCATCCAGACTGCTCTGTGGACAAAGA